TGTATCCAGCCTTATTTAGTTGGATCCCAAAAGATTTTTGCCTTAAAGTTTGCTCCTGGGAAAACAAAATAGTAAAATAGTACTTGAAGGCACGGAGGAAACTTTTCAGGCTTTCTTGGTTCTAGATGAACGCTTTAGATAACCCCCTTTTTTGTAAAAGAAAGTTGTGATATTTTTACCTCGTCTTCTTTCAGACATCTTCCGTAACTAGGTTTATAGCAATACTTCGTGGACTCCAACGAACAGTTATAACCGCTACAATTGGGAAAACTCTAACCATGCTGGGGCCAATAAGCTCGCTGGTTCTCTTACGATTTACTTTGCGCCAGAAAGGTTATGCTAAAGGCAGCGGTATATGCCGATCGCTCTCCAATGTCCAGCCAAGGCCAGTCAGCTATCCAATCTAACCCGTTCCTTGCCAACTAGCCAGCTTTGTAGTTGCGCGGATCTGTCATGGCCTGGCAACCAAGCTAATCTTAACCAGAAGTAAACCGATACCGTTGATAGTGAGGTTTGGAATTTTTTAACCAGCATCAAGTATCAGTGAGTTCAACAATCTTTCCTCAAGCTTTAACTTTTGCGGCCATACACCTTTCCACAATAGCTTCTTTAAAGCGGCATATGGCAATTGATGCCTTTGGACACAGTTTTCATTTCCTGAGCCACCTCGGGAGATTTTGATTCTGACTTTTGGCTGTTAGACCAGTAAACTATTTACATTATTATATTATGAAAGAAAGTTATTTATGAATCAAAAAGAGCGCCACATATCGACAAAGCACCATGAGCTTGCCAAAAATTCGTTGAGACGCCTAATATCTACTCCAGTCAATTCGCCAGTTTCTCAAGAACTNAGAGGTGTCTATCAACCAATTTTTCCGAGTACGAAGCGAAAAAAAAACATTCCAATTTTTGGCCCACCCTAATGTATAAACTCAAACATTCATAGATGTATACAGTTAGTTTTAGTATGCACACTGCCTGCAATTGCGAGCATAGAAAGTAATGAAATCTGTAATAAAGTGAGCGAAAGTATAGCAAAAGGAGGAAAGCAAAGATTTTTGTTAATAAAACGAAATTGAATATGCATGCAGACATCTATGTATGTATTTATGTATTAGTACATAGCGAAGAAAGACTGCATTTCAATTAGAACGGATTAAGTGAGGCTTAAAAGCGAGTGTGCATTGTATTTGCACACTTATATGCATACATAAAAACATATATACGTATACACCGAAATGCATAGAAAGTTTTACAAATGCCAAATTCACTGCATACAATGCATCAGTGCTCGCACAAAATGATGAAAATCAACAAATATCAGAATTCAATCTCGAAAGAGCATTGGGAATAGTTGGCTGGAAATTCTTCATGCTATTTTTCTCATATTCAATGAAATGAAATTACATATTGATTTCAATTTTCAGAAATTTCATCTTTAGTATGTGTTGTTTAGTAGCATCAAATTGAATTTTGATATTGAATAATACAATACATATGCTGGTAAATGATTTATATTTTTCTTCAAGTTGCAATGGTATCTAAAAGTAAATTTTCATGTTGATTTGAAATATGCTTAGCCTTCTTTATTATAAAGGTGGTGTTTTAAGACACCAGCATAAAATCATAATTATTGTGCATTCAACTGAAGGCAAGACATATACGCTGAGCTTTCTTGTATCCAGCCTTATTTAGTTTGGATCCAAAAAGATGTTTGCTTAAATTTTGCTCCTGGGAAATCAAAATAGTAAATAGTATGTAAAGGCACGGAGGAAACTTTTCAGGCGTTTCTTGATTACTAGAAGAAAGCTCCACTCCGTGGACTCCACGAACATTTATAACCGCCACAATTAGGGAAAGTCTAACCTTGCTAAGGAGCAAAAAGCTCGCTGGCTCTCTTCACCTTTGCGTAAAAGGTATGGGCGATTAAAGGCAGCGGTATATGCCGATCGCTCTCCAATCTCCAGCCAATGCCAGAGAGCTATCCAAAATAGACCCGCAAAAGTACAGCAAAGTTGAGACCACTCTCATCACGAGAGCGAGGCCTGAGCTGCCTTCCTTGCCAACTAAGCCAGCTTGCAGTTGCCTGCGATTCTGCTATGGCCTGGCAACCAAACTTATATTAACCAGAAGTAAACCGATACCGTTGATAGTGAGCTTTGCAACAAGCTTTAACTTTGCGGCCATATACCTTTCCACAATAGCTTCTTTAAAGCAGTACATGCAATTGATGTCTTGGACACAGTTATCATTTCCTGAGTCACCCTCGGGAAATTTCGATTCTGACTTGGTTGTTATATCTGTGAAAAACAATTAGTCATCGAATTTTAATTGATATTTCGAATAGACAGTAAACTATTTACATTTTTATACTATGAAAAGAAATTGTATGAACAAAAGAGCCACATATCGACAAAGCACCATGAGCTTGCCAAAATTCGTTGAGACGCCTAATATCTACTCCAGTCAATTCGCCAGTTTCTCAGAACTTAATAACCGCCTTCGGCTCACATTGTTAAAGACTTTGTGCATTAAGCTCCTATATATCTTATCCCTTTGTATTCTGTCCTGATATACAGGTCAATAAACCTTCCAGCGTTTTCCACAGAAGCGAAGAGAGAATAATAGACCTGAAATATTTAGCAATAACATGAGACTATTGCTGTCTTTCGGACTTTCTTCAAACACAGTTAAACTTTATAACTTTTTCATACAAAATGTCTCAAATATTAATTACACAAGAAAACATTAACTTCGTTTGCAATAATTTGATTTTGATCTTACAGTTTTATTGCAGCTATACTCTGTAGTTATCAACCTAACATTTTTCGGCGATGATTACACCACGCGTTTGACAAACACAGATTCACAAAAGAAAATCGTTGAGGAGTTCCATACAACCAAACCCGGTGTATTATATGTTCTTGGGGTCGCTGAGCACGAATCCTCAAAACATGGTAGAACTTGAGGCAAACTCAACTTTTTAATTTTTCAAATATTGATGAATTCCGCTTGAAATTGTAACTCGTATTTTTGCGGTCGCTGATTACAAATTTGTCCTAGACTAAGAAAATTCAAATGATCGTTTCAATATGGCAGACAAAATTTAAAATCCATGACGCTTGTCTAATGAAAAGTTTCCGCAAGCACTTGCTTCCGATCGTTCAGTTTGTATGGTAGCTATATGCTATAATGGGCCGATACGAACTGGTTTGCGTATATACATATTGCTAAATGACTCAGCTGCGTCATGCTGATCATTTATATATAAATTGTTTATGGTCTCCGACGTTTACTTAAGTGTTACAAACTTCGTGGCAAACTTATATACCTGTTCAGTGTATAAAATGAGGTGACATTTTGACGCAAAACATACCGATTCGGCATCGATATTGTTCGCCGACGACGTGAACACCCTTAAAACTATAATATTGATACAATAGTTTTAACACAATTTTCTGTTACAATATAATGATTTTACTGGGAAAATATATTATACTTTTACAAAATTCAGGTGAAAATCGGCAACCTTATCTATCGAAGCTCTGTGGCTCCTAATAACTGCTTAACCTAATCTCATTAGTTTTCAGATTAAGTAGTTTTAGGTACAGTACTCGTTAAAACAGAAGTACTTCGTTAAAGCCAGGTTTTTCATATCTTGAAGGGTAAGATGTGTTATTATCCTTATGTTTAGCCTAAACACAACTATCAAGAACTTGAAAGAACAGTGCTCATAAGTTATATTAAATCTTATTTGCATATCTCTAAGTCTAAATTTTTATGGATGTTACTCTTTACAGTAATAAAAATGTCATTAAAAAGAAATTAATGCTCCACCAATAAACGTCTCTCTGCTAGCGAATCTACATATTCGCCTTAACTTTTACATTTTCCGCTCTTTTCATACAAATCTCTACTACTTCCAGCACCCATTGTTGGCAATTTTACAGACGAAGATTTCGCTGGTGAACGATTGGTGGGGTGCAACACCACAAGATAACGCCGAGTATCCGTTTCAGCGTGATGAAGTGGAGCGCGTCATTAACGGAAAATTCGGTGAACGCAGTCACACAAAAACCATTGGGTAAGTGATTTTTCTCACACCTCTGTTACTTAACTTATTTTTATTTTTATTATTACAACACACTAACACTTAGAGTTAGCTGGCTGTCAGAAACTGCAACTTCATTCAGTGGAACATTTTGTGCGCATAAAAATGATTTCGAAATGAAAATCATAGCCACATTTAAACGTTTGATGTGAATTTCACTTAAGCGTACACTTACATTTCAAAATTTCTCTTTTGCGTGTGGCAGCAATAGACATTTCATTATTGTGGCACATAAAATGTCTCGTATATTAAATAATATTCTACCAGTTGCAGTGAAAAGATTTGGGTTGATCAGAGTCGTCTTTCCGTTGTTGGAATTGAGGGGTTTGCAATATCTTTAAAACGTCTACGTATAGCCAAAGGAGTTTAGCTTCTGAAAGAAGCTTCTTCTTGATGAGAATATGTTCGTTGTTTGGATACCCTCAGCCAAGAACTGTTGTGCTACAACTTTAAAGAATGAGCTGTTTCGAAACTTTGCCGTAAATTCTAATTACTTTAATATATGTTTTGATTTAAATAGAAATTTTGATAGACCATTTTGAGCAAATATTTAGAAAGTGAATTTGTTAATAAAACGTAAATTCTATATTAATTCTTCCAAATCAAATTCATCCCCTTTAAAGTAATCGATAAAACGCACTTTTACCAGCGCTTTTTCCAATCGGCATAGTATTTTTCCGGTTTAACTTTCAAGAGCTTCTTCTATTCGATTTTGTTGAATAGCCAGAAGCCGTACGAGGCCAAATCAGGGGAATACGGTAGTTGCGGAACGATATGAGCTTGAGTCGAGATTTTAGCAAAAAAGTCGCTAAGAACCAATGCAGTATGATATGGCGCATTATCGTGATGAAGTAACCAAAAGTTGCTCGCTCATAACACCAGCGATTTCTGACGAATAGCTTAACGTAAACGACGCATAACGCTCAAATACTTGTAAAATGCTTTATTGACAGTTTGGCATGACGAAAAGAAATCATTTTGCACTACACCACGATCACCTCATTTTGCTTTGTAATAACAATAGTAAAGAATACATTTCAAATCGTTTTGTTTTTTTTTATTTGGTCTTAAAGTTGAGTTTAACCTATTCCTTTTGGTGTTCAACTAGAGCTCAACTTTTTTTTTTTGTTTTAAACACGCGTTTAATGATTTGTGTTAAGGATAATTGCCACCTGTATTCCCATTGAAGTTATTAAGAATTTTGGAGTCTGTGCCATCAGTTTTGACTTATTCTTTGCATATTACCGAATGTCAAACTTGTGCACGTCGTTTTTTTTCAAAGCCAGGTTTTTTTGTGAGTGGTGTTTAATGCTAAACACCAGAATGCTTAATAAACTCGAGTTAAAGAATTTTTTAAGGACAAATCTTTGGTAATTAACAAGCAGGGTTTAATGCTTAACACCAAAATTACCAACAAAATCGGGTTAAAGCTTTTTTTTCAAGAAAATTCTATAGTTTTGTTAGTAAAGAAAATTTAATTGTTAAGTTATAAACTCTGTATTTGAGAGTAGGGTTTAATGCTTAACACCAGAATGCTTAATCAACTCGAGTTAAGGAATTTTTTAAGAAGAAGTCTTTGTTAATTAACAAAGAACTTAAGTTATAAAATGATAAACTCTATGTTTGAGAGTAGTTTTCAACGCCAGAATGACCAATAAACTCGAGTTAAAAATTTTTTAAAGAAAAGTCTATGTTTACTCAAACACAATTTTTTCTTATTAAATGATGAACTTTGTATTTGAGAGTAGGGCTTAATGCTAAACACCAGAATGCTTAATCAACTCGAGTTAAAGAGGAAATCTCTGTTAACACTAGAATGACCAATAAACTGGCCCTAAAACTTTTTTTAATACATGAAATTTTTGTTAAATTAACAAATAAATTTACACTAATCAGAGTTTTAAATCTTAATATAGAACCTCTTCGATGCAAGCGCTTCCCGAATATGCAAGATTGCGTAAAACGCAGAAGTCACTCAAAAGTCTGATCATTTCAATCCCCCAGCCGCTGCTTGAGCATATACGTACGTTATAATAATTTCTTGACTCTTTAAGTCAACTGACACTCAAGATTTTTAAAAACACTGGCAATATTAAAATGTACAAATCATTCTGAGGGCTTAGCTACGTTTTGCATTCCACTACACTTTTCTGCCGCGTCATATTCAGTTTCATTCATATTATATTAAATTGCTTTCCAACTACCACACACAACAACTGAAGACCGGAAACATGCCGTTGCTTATTTAGCTGCGCAGCTAAGGATACACGGATTATATAATGAAATATTATGAGCATTACACAGTTCTTTTGGGAACTACATTGAAATATAAAGTGGTATTTATATGCTTGTGGAATGTGAAGAGTAGGAAAATAATTTGCAAGGTTTTCGAATATGAGAAATATTGTTGAGGATTTGAAAATAAAAGGCTAGAGTTAGGTCGACTGTAGGCAAGAGTAGTAAACTCAAACGAAAATTTTAATTTTTTCTAAGACTTGCTCTAGTTCAGTACAATATCATAAGATTAGTTATGCAAAATTTTCTTTTGGTGTCGCTCTGGCATTCAACGGTCAAAAAGAGTCCAGAAGTGGGTTTCAACACAGGGACTCAAAGAGTCTCATAACGATTTATTGTGGGCTGAGGGATGCGAGAAAGACGAGGGACAATGCCCTCGTGTTTCGGGGTGGCACGCTGTGATTCTTGTTCGGAACAGCGTGACCTCTCAGCTACCCTTTCTTTTTTCACATTCACTTTTCGCAAATTCTTTGAATGTGCATACGAGCCTCGGTTTCCAATGATTCGATCGATTTAGTGAGTTCCTGTATCTATTTTTGTATGTAATATGCAAATACGTATGCCATAAGATAATGAATATTATGACTAAATTGTAAATAAGGAAAAATTAAGTATAGATTAGGAGTAGAAAGTGTCATGATTTTTAATACAGGTAAAGAAATTATGAGTTTTTAATACTTAAGATTAGGCATATGCTATATAAATTTGGCCTGAAAATTTGTTGCCGGATATTCAATACATCTTGTGGATTAGGAATCCCGTCTTAAGTATTTTTTGAAACTATTTAGCGGGTGGTACTTGTACTTATGTATATTGTTCTTACCATTATTCACTGGTTAATTCATTGCAAGCAAAATGTGTGACCATCATTCAAATACAAATGAGAAATACGCAGCAGCGCAGGTGTGCGCCGGTGTTTGCGCACAGTCGAAACCGCACAAAGTATTTTACGAACATTTTTGCTCGAAAAGGGAATGCAGAACAAACTAGACTCGGACGTTGCTTGGACCCTTCTTTAATTGGACCGATCGTGAATTGCCCAGAGCGACCACCACAAGGTAAAAAATTTGAAAAACATCACGACTCTTTTGCATCCTGTCTGGAACGGACAAACTAGTACTCGAGTTGCTGGACTCTTTTTGCACCGTGTGAGATTGCCCAGAGCCGGACACCCAAAAGAAAATTTTGAAAAACATCAGACTCTTATTGCATCTCATGTGAACGCGCCACCAACTCGAGTCTAGCTGTTATTTTCTGCATTCCTTTTCACAACAAATGTTGGCGTAAAATATTATTGCTGCGTTCGACTGCGCAACTACCCGCGCACACTGCCGCATCTTGCGTATTTCATGTGTATGTTGAAGGATGAGTGGTCACAGCATTTTGCTCTGCAGTACCACATGATAGCGTTACATTCGACTGGATATAGATGTGTTATCCTTTAGAACAAATCATTACATAGCTACAAGATAACCTACCGCGCTAAATCACGTATTCAACAAAAAACTAAGAACAATTCCATAACCAGACGACATTCGGCATATCAGCAATTTCAGTAAGAAATAGTCCGGCAACTAATATTTTTCACTCACAGGCCAAATTTCTACCGAGCATCAATAGCCACTGTGTCATGCCATCTCTCATCCTTTAAAGTCTATTTAAAAACTCATAAGTTCTTTGACTCCCGTACTTTAAAAAAATTCACTAATTTTCTTTGACTCTCATAATCTATTCTTTAATTTTCGCCTTAGATTTACAACTTTGTCATAAATATTTCTAATTATTCCGTATGCATACTCGTATTGCATAATTACATACAAAAATACTAGAGATAACAGAACTATTTGCAAGATCGAATCTTTCATTTTGCAGGAAACCGAGCGCTCTTGCCCAACATTTCCATATAGAATTTGACAAAGTGAAAAGGAATGCTGAAAAGGTAGCAGCGAGCTGTTACGACACAAAGAACACAAAGCGCCTGCCACGACACACGAGTGGCACGGTCCCTTCGTCTTTCCTCGTCATCCCCTCACCCACAATAAACTGGTATGAGACTCTTTTGCGTCCCAATGTGAAACGGCACTAAGCAGCCTCTCTCTCTCCCTCTCTTTCTCTTTTGTTAACCCAGCACAAGAATTTTCAGTTTGCAAAATTTCATTTTATTTTCCAAATTCTTTACTATCTAATACTTCGTTTTCCGTATTTACCTTTACTCATTAGTGATTTCACCCAAACCCATAGACCATCCAGAACCGGAGAACAGTTTGATTGGCTTCATCTTCGCCGTATTGGTGGCCATCATATTGGTGCTCGTTGTGGTCATACTCTTAATTGTTATACGTAATAAACGCGGTCGTGGCGGTAATGTGCTCGATGCATTCCAACACAACTTCAACCCGGATACGCTAGGGGGCGCCGATAAGCGGCTCAATTGCAATGGCATGAAGGTGAGTTGGCGTTGTAATTTTCAGCAAATATTTATTTCATATATATTTTTTTTTTGTTTGTGATATTTTTAACACAATTTTTACATGACCAACACATTCCCTCAACGAATATTTTATGCTTTCGCAGGCCGTCACGATGGACAATGACACGGAGTCTATTGACAAGAGCAGCCTCTACCATGAACCGTTCAATGTGAATATGTACACGAGTGCAGCGAGCGGTTGCTCCATGAATGACATGCAACGGCAACATGTCACACCGGACTACACAGGTATGCAAATTGCTTATTATGTTTTTATGTTATGCTCATAACGGCAAATGTCTATGGGAATGTTGAAAGAAATGGTTACAACGTTGATGAACATGTCTTTCGGCAAACATAATTGGTTGGTGTTGTCAATGCTATAACGTATAAAATATATTTTTCTTAAAGCTTAATGCAGTACAGATTTTCTGTGAAGTCAAATTAAATAAGACATATTCGTTTCGAGCTGCAAAATTATACTCCTGAATTTTAAAATTTTTAGCGGTAGTTACGGAAGCGTTTTTTGGAGGACGAGGACGACGGAGGATTCGTTTAGGTTTCAGATCCATTTAAATATTAATATTATTATCGCACGAAAAGTTATTATTTCAAATTAATTAGCTCAATTGCTAAAATCAGAGTAAATAATATTGTGTAAAAGCTTTGGTCCTGATCCAAACTCGGTAAGGTTTAGCCCATTCGTCATAGCTGAGCAGCGTCTTTATTAATTTTATTAGTTTAATATAATTCTACTAAAATCTCCTTGTTCAGGAAGTAAAGTGTGTTTTGTTTAGCGTCTGGTTTTCAAGAAAAAATAAAGTTAATGCGATGAGCAAGAATTTATTATTATATTTTAAAAATGCTTTCGGGTAAGTGACCGGGTTGCTCGAAAAAATTTCAGTCGGGAGGTTCAATTTCCGAATACTTCTTGCAGCAATTGGCATCAGCAATAACGCACCAAATATGCTCTTAAAAGGCGTCAATCGTCTCAGATTTTTCTGCGTAAACAAGAAATAATCGCACGATCTCAAAGGCCATGCCACAAGCTCACGACGCGACATAATGCACTCACAAAAAGTTTGCTTCAATAAATTGATTGTTTCATTGGCTGTGTGGGATATATATGTACTCCAAATGCAATAATTTTGTTTATTTACGTACACATTCCAACGAAAACGGGAAAACCCGGAATACAATTTTCTGGTGGAAATCGGGATCGGTGGCCATCTCGTTTTGGTAATAAATTTGCACGATTTGCAAACGTTGTTCCGGAGTAAGTCTGCTCATATAAAATTGGATTTTTTTTTCGACATTAGGTCAATATAAGGAGCAAAAATAAATATTAAATGAAAAAAAATAAAAAAAAAACCACAGTGTGTTTGGGACATATTTATTAGGGTAAGTTTACACCAAATTTCGCGAAAGAAACAAATTTGTCTAAAAGATATAAATAAAAAATCCAAAAGCCTGGTTATTTAAATTTTTCAGATAAATTTTGAGGTTATGTGGAAAAAGTCAATACATAAAAGTTATAGATATTTTCATGACCAGACAACATTTCCGTACAATTTTTATAGCACTCGCAGTTTTACCAGAAATCGAGATAAAACATTCTTAGCCCATAAAAATTCAACCACCCCTTGCTTTTACCGACCGCAGATTGCCTGTGAATGACTTTTGCTTTAATGTTTGTCATTTGATCTTTCGTTTCCGCTTCACGCAAATATAAATTTATTTCTTACTTATTAATATCAGAGGCTTCCTTGTCTTAATCTAAAATCCACCATCGAAAATCTCTTCCTAAAATCTAGCACCTGCTATCATGACGCCCCACCTTTTCGACTAAAATAATGGAACCAAAATACGTCGATTACATACTTGTACAATACTGTATTTATACCTTGAACAGAGTATTTAAAGTTTACCGCGAAGTTTGAAACACCCAGTCAAAAACGTTGAATAACCTACAAATTATATATAATATATATATGATCAGCGTGACGAGCTGAGTCCATTTAGCCACGTCCGTCTGCTCGTCTGGTCGTTTGTTCGTCTGTCTATACGTACGCGAATTAGTCTCACAGTTTTTGAGATATCGATCTAAAATTTGGCATACTTCTTTCTTTTCCAAGAAGCTGCTGATTTGTCGAAATCGACTGGCAGGATTTATTGTGTAAGGTAAAGGTACAATCTCCGAATAAACTGTTCAGATCGAGCCGCCATAGCATATAGCTGTCATACAAACTTATTGATCAAAATCAAGTACTTGTATGAAAAACTTTTATATTTGACTTTTTACAATTATAGTTCAGCAAATTTGGCATGAATAATTATCCAAGATGGCTCAACTATCTTCAAACATATCGTTAAGACCAGACCACTATAGCATATAGCTGCCATTAAAACTGACCTTTTGTACTAAACAAAATGCCTTCACGAAATTTGGCATAGCTTATTTTTCAAGATTGTGCTACAATAACCGAAGAAACTGTTCAGTTCGGACTACTATGTCATATAACTGCCATACAAACTGACCGATTCAAATCTTTATAAAAAATATTTTTCCGTATTAAGTAACCTTAAATTAACGTGAACGTTACTTATAAACAACATCATGACTACAAATAATCAAAAAACTTTTTTGTGATATGCAAACCCTTGGCCAATTACGTCGTTAGATAAATTTATACATAAGTTAACATTTTTTCTTGTTTTGGTTTCAAATGAGAGCATATTTCCAACCCAACTCTCAAAAATTAATTCGAATTATTAAGTTAAAAAATTAGCGATAGATATAATAGTTTAAAACTACAATTATTGCGGTCACATAACCTAGAAAGAAAACTATAAAAGACATTATTGATAACTGCCCAACTAATCAATTGGTTGAAAGCCATATTCAAATGCAATGCATTGAAAATCCGATAACTAACAAGAGTAATTTTGTCAGATGGAAATATAAAGATACAACAAATAACAATAAAATACTTATATGTACAATTTCCGGCATTTTTGTTTGTTTTGTTCCACTAGCTTTTCAATTTGCAACTTGTCAGTCAGTTGCATATGTGACTGAGAGCTCGAATATCAGCGTATGTTTCTGTACAAAAATGTATTAGTATGTATTTGTATGTATGTATGTGTGTTTGTATGTGAGTGTCTTTTGTCTATATCGATAGTACTATGGTAAATGTTCGACAGGAATACTAGCTGAAAAGAACTAAAAAACTACCCAGATTTATGTTATAAGTAATAACAATTTACTTGGGCCGACAATATTATAGTCAGTTTGTGATGTCATATATTGTTTGATTGATATATCATTTTTATATTAGTCCAAACCATAATTGCATGATAAGATCTTATATTTGGTCTGAAGTTCTCGTATATAGTTCATCAAATGAATTACGACCCTGAGTGCAACGACTATGAACAGGTACAATGTAAAGCATTGTAATAACGACAAACGCAAATAGACGCCTAAACATACGTTGCACCGATATCACGAATAAGTTATTCCAGCGGAACAGGCCCTGTACAGTGAGAGCTGGTCACACGGGAAGAAATTTTATGTTACGCTTGTGGTAATTTTGATAGGCACATGCTATATGCAAGCGCTTGCTCTCCCGTTCGGACAGCGCTACAATTGGGGAAAATTATCTTGGCATTATTCCACAAAGCGCTATGCATCTACATATGCACACAAATTTTTACAGTACAGCTAAAACAACAGAAAATAACAAATAGATAGTCAACCAAATACAACCATCTAGCAGCTGTCATTTTCGCGTCATCAAAAACGGTTAGACATCATCGAGCACGAGTCGTGCCTGTAAACAAACGACGCCCAAAAACACTCAGGTAGTATTACATAAAGCAGAGCGCAAGGAGATAAAGAACGGGACGATCGGCTACAGCAATGTGTGTTAAACCTAACAAACAAGCGAGGCAGATGTGATGTGGAGCTTAATATAAATCCCATGCAGGTTGTGTCTGACACGTTAATATTGTAGATTGTATGTAGTTTGAAGTTTGCATTTGTAAAACATGCTCTGACATGCATACATGTACTCCGCTTAAATTTGCAATAATCTATAGCTACTGCTCAAAATCATTCGCGTTAGCAGATCGTTGTGGTCAGATGTGGTTGGTAGGCAACCAGCGTCTATTGCAAGAGTTTCTTTTTTTTTGTGCTGCGCTTTTCAACCTTTCCGCTCCATTATATTCCGAATTGATATTAGGCTGTAATCTTCGACACACTACTAGAACTGCGAGTCTCCATGTACTGCCTATTCTCTTAAATTTCTATTGGTACTGCAGCATACTATACAGCGGCACTCTCAGTTATGTGAATATTACTTCACCGAGAATATCAACATGCCTCTCTCTCTCTCCTCTCTCTCTCTCACTATATCTTTTGGTGTTTTATTCTCGCATTGTCCCTTAGTTGCACTTGTGGTGTTAATAGATTTCTATTGTTCGTAACTCTTTATGCAAAATGCAGTGTGCACAATTTTTCCGTCTTTCATTCTGATGATCGGCATCACTCGTTTATCCTTATTCAGCCCTGCACTCTCCTTCACCTGCTCTGATGCAATAGTATACCTTGGAGCGCCCTTATAGCTCCTACTAGACACTCTGGTTTGTGTGATGCATGAGCACGTGTGTATAAGCGCATCAATTTATATTCATGATTCGAAAATTGTTAGTCGATGCTCATAGACTGTCAATATATCCGTTGTCATAATTCCGAGAAAGTTTTGCTAGCATTTTTTCTCTACTTGTTCGCTTTCGATTGTTTGTGTGTTTTGTTGTCTCATTCATTAAAGCTATATAACATGTATAGGCTTTGCGACTGTGCTAGTAAGCAAAGATGTTGGGCACTACGTTCATAAAGGTTCTACATTGCATTTAAAATCTCTTCATCAACACTTCAACATTCTAGACTGGGAGACTGGTAGGGAAAGATATAGTGTTACTTGAGAAAGGTAACATGACACATAGGTTCTAAGATTGACTAACGTGGCGCCGTAGAAAGCGCGAACGCATAAACAATGAAGTTACAATAGAAATTAGAAAAACGCAATACAAACTGCATATCATCAAAGCCGCTGATGCAACTTTGTACTAGCACAAACGGATCTCCTCGCCAGTCAACTTGCGACCTAATGTGTCATAGCGCAACAAAGTTTTCGGCGATATTCGCAATTATTTATTGGGTGTGGTGCGCTAGCACATTTCAGCTA